CCCTAACCCCTAAACCCTAAAGGTTTCTTCATTTTGGGAGCCCCCCGGTCAGGTTGAGGAGATCGTGGCCGCCACAGCAGGTGCTCCCGAGGAGGAGGAGGCGACGGCCATCAACTTGCCTTCGCACATCCAGGAGGAGAGGGTCGTAGGTTTTATCAGCGCTCTCTGGGGCTTCATGGTGTTTACGTTTTTTTTTTTTTACAGGGTTCTTGTGAATAGGGTATTTAATGTTCGATATAGGGGTCTTGGAGGAGATCCTGGGCTACACCATGCGCTTCACGGGGCACGTGCATCAGACGGTGGTCCAGGTCTATGGCAATGTGAACATCCGGATACCTTCCGTGGACTTGGAGGACGTGGATGCCGTAAGGCACGATCCAAGCGTCATCTCCATCTTGGAGCAGGCCGTGACCGAATGGAGCAACATCATCGAGAAGGTGCTCTACGAAGAGTCCAAGAGGGAACCCGACAGCGAGTTTCCCATGGCTGAGATCGACTTCTGGCGTGATCGATCCTCAAAGGTCTCCACCGTCTACGAGCAGCTGCAGCTGCCAGGCGTCAAGAAGGTGCTCGAGGTCCTGGAATCATCGGAGCCACCTGTGCTGCAGCAGTTTCAGGACCAGTTCGGATCGCTCCAGCAGATGCACATTGTGGCCAAGGATAACGTCAAGTTCTTGACGACTCTTGAGCGACATTTCAAAAGCCTGGCAACGGGATCCATGCAGACCATCGTCGAGACTTTGCCCTCGCTGATGAATGCAATCCGGATGGTGTGGATCATCTCCAGGTATTTCAACTCGGACAAGTACATGGAGCCGCTGATGAAGCGAATCGCCGACCAGATTGCCGAAAAGGTACAAGAGCAGATTAACATCAATCAGATCCTGTCACTAGATCCACCTAAGGCCATGCAGATCATCCAGGACGGAAAGAGGGCATTGGATTCATGGACTCAGATTTACCTCGATACGCGAGACAAGATGGAGGAGAGTGCAACGACCCAGCGTTGGGACTTTGACCGTGCCCTGCTTTTCAAGAAGACGGGTTACATGTCGAAGGTTTGTGAGGGCCTCTACGGGATCATGCAGGTCCTCGACCAGTTCTACAAGTTCTTAGGCCCAGAGCTGAAAGAGGTCACTGGAGACTCGCAAGGTATCGACCAGCTGCTGCGCGAAGTGGAGGCGTTGAAGACGGATTTCCGCAATGTGAAAAATGTCTTCGACGACTTCAGCCAGCCGCACTGGGAAAGCTCGCTCAGCAGGTTTCATGAGAAGGTGGTCGTCATCGAGGAAAGGGCCATCAAGTTCCTGAACCGAAGCTTCCAAAACCTGCGCAGCGCAGAGGGCGCATTCAAGCTGCTTCAGAACTTCAAGAACATCGAGTCCCGTGAGCGGATCAACAAGAAGATGAACGAGAAGTTCGTGGCGATCTTGCTGCGCTACGGCGTTGAAGTTGCGAAGCTCAAGGCGATCTTCCAGCGGGACAAGGAAAACCCGCCGATCTCCAAGAGCACGCCACCCACTGCGGGTGCCATTCTCTGGGCCCGAAGCATCTTCCACCGTGCGAAGCGACCCATCCTCTCCTTCAAGACCATGCCACACCTGTTGCAGCTACCGGAGGGCCAAAATGCTTGCAAGGACTACGTGGAGCTTGGCAAGGAGATCTTGGAATACGAGCAGGCGCTTTTCGAGGCCTGGCAGACGACAGCGGTGGAGCTGGCGGTGTCATGCTTGAAGTACAACGTGCTAATCAAGGACCAGCGAACAGGAGCATACAAGGTGAACTTTGCAAAGGAGCTTCAGCTACTGATTCGTGAGGCCAAGTACCTGGACCAACTGGGTGGCTTCGAGCTACCCCACACGGTCCTGAATGTCGCCCTGCAGCAGGATCAGTACAAGGAGTTCGTGGAGCAACTAGACCTCCTGATCGATGCCTACAACGCAGCCGTGGGCGACCTCTCGCCAGTGCAGCAGAAGCTGCTGAGGAAGCAGATCCTGGACCTGGACAAGTGCTTGAGTCCGGGTCTCTCGCCCCTGAATTGGAGCCTACGCCGCACTTAAGGGGACACCGTTTCCTTCAAGTGATGCTGAAGGAGAACTATAACACAAGCGTTCACCGGTCTCTGAGAAACCATTGAACCCGAAACTCGAGCCACAGCCTAGGAACTCTCTGGGCATCAAGGACTTCATCGAGGCCGGCAACCAAGGCATCACGAAGTTCCGCGGTGCCTTCCGCGATCAGGCAGGGGGTCTGGGCTTCGGGTGTTTACGGGCTTCTGGTCCTTTGATCTAAATCCTAAACGTGAGTTTTTTGAAGCCTGATCCCCAGTGTATACCCGCAGCAGCACTCTGAATACAGGCCACAAGTAGATGTGATCATGGTGCTCCGACCTTAAGCTATAGGCCCTGGCCCTCCGAAGCAGGAAGCAGGATCCTGAAGCGAAACCCTCCACTGTGGAATTCGTGTTATCAAGACCCCTATACGGAACCTACCCACGTGGGGGTTTCCGAGAATAGGGGACCATAGTATAGTACCCTAAATAGTAGGATCCTTATTATAAGGACCCCCAAATATCCCAAAATAAGCTATCCCTACTTTTCGGAACCCAGCCAGGTCGAGAAGAGCGAGGAGCGAATCGCCAACGTGGTCAGCGCCATCGAGAACGCCACGCTCGTGAAGCCTTTCGACTGGAACCGGGCAGACGTCATGGACCACATGGAGTTCGGCGAATTCTTCGAGAGGCATCGATTAGCACAGCTGGATGATTTAGTGAAGAAGTACGACTCCATTGGGCCTTTCCTGGTGAAGATCGAGGAGACAACCGCTGGCACCAAGACTGGTATGGCACCTTCCATGGCCGAATACTACCACTACTGGGAGCGGCGGATCTTCAATGCCATCACCACGATGCTCTTAAGAGGCATGAGCACCTTCCAAACCTTGTTCAGCGCTGGCGAGAGGAAGAGGCCACCTCTCTTGCGGGTGAAAGCCGACTGCAGTGGAGCGGAGATCGACGACAATGCTCTCCAGTCCGTCTTCCGACTCATCAGCAAGCTGCTGAAGAATACGATTCAGTCAGCCAAGTCCTTTGTGCGGTGGATGGATGGCACGTGCCGCATGGTGCCTCCTCAGCCGGGGCAGGAGGACGAGCAGCAGCAGATGTTCACATTCTACCGCGATGTGAAGGACAACCCCGCCTTGTTCGAAATGACCATCAACATCCAGAACAGCATCCAGAAGATCTTCTCGATTATCGACAAGTTCCTCCGGCACTGGAAGCGCTACGAAGACAGGTGGAAGCTTTGGGACCCCAAGTGGAAGCAAGACCTTGAGAAAGTCAAGGAGAAGCGTCCACCTTTCGTCTTCTTCGATGCCCACATCTGCGTGTATAAGAGCTTGGCCGATAGCCTGGCCGCATATCCACCGGAGAAGGACATCGGCTTCGTGCGCATCGACTGCACAGCCATTGTGGCGGCCATCCGGACGCAGGCGATGGATTGGGTGGCCGGTTATGGCGATATCTTGCGCCAGCTGGCATTCAAGGATCTCACGAGGATCCAGGCGGAGATCACCGAGTTTCGCGAGCAGCTGCAGGAGACCCCCGACTCCCTGGACAAGCTGAAGTTCATCCTCAGCGTCATCTCCCAGATCTTGGCAGTGTCTATGGACATGGAGCTACGCATGCAGGACGTCCGGGAACGCTACCGCACCCTGGAGCTCTACAACTGCCAGTACGAGATGCAGGAGTACGAGGACGCGAAGGCGCTCTCCGAGATGTGGCGCTTGCTGAAGGACGAGGCCCTGACGAAGGATCGTCGGATGGTCCGGGTTTCTGGGCTCGTGTTTAGAAGCTTCTTGCAAGCTGCCATTAGGGTCTGTAGTATCTACACTAAACAGTTTGGCTTCCCTGTTATAGCGGCTTAACCTAAGTTCCCGCGAGCCCAGGTGAAGGAGCACTTCTCGGAAGTCACGCAGGAGCAGGTCAAGGACTTCTCTGCTGAGTGCAAGGAGCTGTTGCTGGGATCTTTTTAGAGGATGTTCGTGAAATCTACGAGAACATGTAAGGGCACTATGGTAGGGGTTGATGAGAAGCAAACAAGATTCCTTGTTGTGGTAACTTATTCCAAACTCCTTAGACCATGAACCCTAAACCCTAAAGCCTATTCGGATTGTACCCTGCAATGCGGGCTCGTCCTAGCAAGGTGGGAGGCAAAAAAAACCCTAAACCCTAAACCCCTAACCTATTCCAAACTCCTCAGAACACGGCCCAGGTTGCAGGTATTCAAGCGCGAGGGCCCAGGCTCGGATATCTCCTTGGAGGAGGGTGGCTGGGCCCAGTAGTGCACCTTTTGCCATTTTCATTTTTGGATCACCGGAAACCCTTTTTAAGCCCCAACCATACATCCTGATTCAACGAGGACAAGGGTAATGTAGGAAGCTGATGAAGAAACCTTGGAACCCCAAAGTAGTAAAGAGTCCCAATACAGGTTCCTATCTTACCCATCGTATTCAGAAGATGCTTGGAGCCAAGGTGTGGAGTTGATGAAGAAGTACGACATCAATGTCAAGCAGTTCCAGCGAAAACGAGAGGACCTGGTGAAAGCCCAGACTCTCTTCAACCTGCCTATCCAGACCTACCCGGAGCATCAGGGTGGCATTCGGGTATGCTTCTATTGGGAAAGGCCCTGTGGTGTTTTTCTTTGAGGCAGCACCCTAAACCCTAAAAAAAAATCCTAACCCTAAGCCCTAATGACCCGACACCCCAAGCCCTAAACCCTAAACCATAAATAAGGTTGAGGACCCTTGAAGCTGACGCCCAGGCTTCTGCAGTTGGAGAAGGACCTCCGACTCCTTCAGCAGATTTACAAGGTCTACATCGATCATGCGGCCATGGTCAACGAGTACAGCAACGCCTTCTGGACGAAGTTCGACATCAACGCGCTGACGAAGAGCGCCGAGGAGTTCGACAAGCTCGTCCGGCGAATGCCCAAAGAGCAGAAGGAACTCGGAGAGCTGCAGACCTTCCAAAAGCTCGAGGAGGTGGGAGGGCATTTTTTTGTGCAGGAGTTTGGGAATGAGAGTACTTGCAGAAAAAAATTGCATGAGTTTACAAGTGCATGATAGCAGCGGCATACGCTCTCCGAGATGACAGCAGGGCCCTTCCATAAGCCCCAAGCCCTAAACCCTACGCCCCAAGCCCTAAATCTTACGCCCCAATTCCGAAGCTCCTTTCGATTGCAGGTCGTCACTTCCTTCAAGGCAGGAGTGCCCCTGATCCAGCAGCTGAAGAGCGATGCCATCCGCAAGGTCCACTGGGAGGAGCTGATGCTGTTCTTAGGAACTATTTTTAGGTTTTAGTATAACATGACTTCAATGTGATTGTGGTCTCAGGAATAATTGTTTTTCGGTTCGGAAAAAAATAAAACCTGTAGATTACTAAATTAATATTATGGTTCTAAGGGCGCTTGAGGAAGAGGGCTGAGGGTTGAGGCCTTTGCGGTATTTTTGGTGGTTGGAGTTCGGGGTCTGTCTAGACCCGAGGCCTATGAGGAAAAAGCGTGTTTTGGCTCAGGGCTGTGGGCTTGGGGCACAGAGCTTGAGGTTTCCGGTCAATCCAAGTGGGCAGGAGCTGATGCAGCTCGCCGGCGTCGAGACGGAAGATTTCGACATTAAGAAGATGACCTTAAACTCCGTCTTCGCAATGCAGCTGCACCGCTACCCCGACGAGGTAAACGAGCTGGTGGTGACGGCTCAGAACGAGCTCAAGATTGAAAGCGAGCTTGCGAAGATTGACAGCACATGGCGCAACATGCCTCTGGGCCTGAAAGCCTACAAGGGCGAGCCCAACAACCCACGTGGCTACGTACTTCTCCCGAATGAGGAGATGAAGCAGACCTTGGACGACCATGTCCTCACGCTCCAGTCCATGAGCTCCTCGAAGTATGCCGCGAAGCTCTTAGATACCATCAAGCGCTGGGAGAAGAACCTCTCGGTGGTCAGTGAAGTCTTCGATGCCTGGATGGTGCTTCAGAGGAAGTGGATGTACTTGGAGAGCATCTTCCTGGACTCAGAGGACATTAGCATGCAACTGCCGGAGCAGGCGAAGCAGTTTGTGCGCTGTCACAAAGCCTACACCAAGATCATGTATGCCACGCAGGCCTCACCACAGGTGCTGTCGGCCTGTTGCCAGGACGGTCGACTGGAGGAGTTCAAGGGCCTAACCTCGGAGTTCGACCGGATCCAGAAGTCTTTGACCGACTACCTGGACACGAAGCGCTCCGCCTTCCCGCGTTTCTACCTGATCTCCGATGACGAGCTCCTGAGCATCTTGGGGACCAGCGATGCACAGGCGGTGCAGCCTCACATGTTGAAGCTCTTCGACAACTGCAAGACCCTGGAGTTCAGTCGCGGCAAGACAGTGGTGGGCATGTACTCGGACGAGGGCGAGCATTTCCGCTTCCACCAAGCTCAGAAGGCCGAAGGAGCCGTGGAAGATTGGATGCTCACGGTGGATGAGCAGATGCAAGATACCTTGCAGCGGATCTCCAAGACCGCGGTCTATCACTACGCCTCCCAGGAGAGGATGGAGTGGGTGCAAAACTATATCGGCATGGTAGCCATTCTTGGAACCCAGATTTGGTGGACCTGGCAGGTCGAGGACGCCTTCCGGAAAGTAGCAGAAGGAGACAAGAACGCCATGAAGAACGAGCTGAAGAAGGAGAACACCCAAGTTCAGGACCTCGTTGCCTTCGTGCGTTCGCCCATCAACAAGCTTCAGCGCAAGAAAGTCAACACCTTGATTATCTTGGATGTCCATGCCCGGGACATTGTGGACCGCTTCGTTCGCGACAGCATCCTCAGCAAAGAGGAGTTCGCCTGGGAGTCGCAGCTCCGGTTCTACTGGGACAGGAAGATGGATGACGTGGCGATTCGCCAGTGTACGGGGCAGTTGAAGTATTGCTACGAGTATCAGGGGCTCAACGGCCGTCTGGTCATCACTCCGCTGACGGACAGATGCGTCATGACTCTGACCACAGCACTGACCTTCAACATGGGCGGTGCACCGGCTGGCCCGGCGGGTACCGGCAAAACCGAGACCGTCAAGGACCTGGCCAAGTCTTTGGCCATCTCCTGCGTGGTGACGAATTGTGGAGACGGTCTGGACTTCCGGGCGATGGGAGTGATCTTCAGCGGCCTTTCAGAGACAGGCTTCTGGGGATGCTTCGATGAGTTCAATCGAATCAACGTCGAGGTCTTGTCCGTCGTGGCCGCGCAGATCAAGACCATCCAGAATGGCTTGAATGGTGGCAAGAAGACTGTCGAGATGCTTGGTCGTGATGTGGCCCTAAAGACCACGATCGGTTACTTCATCACCATGAATCCCGGCTACGCGGGTCGATCTGAGCTGCCGGACAACCTGAAGGCCCTCTTCCGTCCGGTGACCATGATCGTGCCGGACCTTCTCATGATCTGCGAGAACATGCTCATGTCCGAGGGATTCAACATGGCGAAGGTGCTGGCCAAGAAGATGACCGTGCTCTACGCGCTCTCCCAGGGCCAGCTGTCGAAGCAGTACCACTACGACTCCTGGGCCTTATATAGAATCGGTGCACCAAATGCTGTCCGTACTAAGTACTTGTCCTCCTGTGATGAAAGCGGCTGTTTGTCCGGAAACAGGGGCCTCAGATCCTGAACCTGAAACCCCGAAACCCTTAACCCTAGACCATCGTAACCCCAAGCCCTACAGGACCCCATTAAAAGCAGAACGAGCCCAGGACTTCAAGCCACAACCCTAAAACTGCGAAGTCGGAGGCAAACAAAAATCCCTAGAACCTATACAAAACCCTAAGCCCTAAACCCAGCAAAACAAGTCCAAAGCCTTAATCTCTATAAATAAGCCCTAACCCCCCGAAAAGACCTTTAAAATAGGCTCCCATCCCAGGACTTCAAGCTCCGAGCCCTGAAATCCGTGCTGGTCATGGCCGGCGACCTCAAACGCGCGGCCGGCGATCTGCCGGAAGACAAGGCGCGCTCCGTCAGGGCCTATTTGGGGCTCTCTCCCCTAGAGGGGTTTAGGGTTTAGGGTTGCTGTAAGGGCTCCGATAAGGGTTCCTTCGTATATGGCTTGGGGCTCTCTATCAGCGAGGGGTTGCTCTAAGGGCTCCTATAAGGGTTCCCATAAAGGTTCCTGTCAAGGTTCCTAGAAGGGTTACTATAAGGGAGGGTCAGTATAAAGGTTGCTAACTAATTACTTACGGCATAAAGACGTTTTTTTGTTTCAGGTTGATATAAGGGATTACGACAAGGGTTGCTATTCCGAGGGTGTTGCAGGGTTTCGGGTTTCGAGGATTTCTGCTGCTTTTGAAACCTTCAGGATTCGTAAACTATAGAAACCTACCGCCCCTCTTGACGCCTAGAGGTATGTCCTTAAACGTTTGCGTTTCGGGCCTTGGTTGGGGCTCCTAGAGGTGCTGATGCGAGCTCTCCGAGACATGAACATGCCAAAGTTCGTGAAGCAGGATGTTCCGCTATTCCAGGGCCTCTTGAACGACCTCTTCCCGGGCCTGAAGGTGCCGCGTGAGGGAAACCCTGGTCTGAAAGATGCGATCATGAAGTATTTCGATGACAACCAGATGCATTCGAAGTACGAGGATATCTACCAGCTGCAGGTGGACAAGGTGATGCAGCTCTACGAGACGATGCTCACTCGCCACTCCACCATGATCGTGGGGCCCACGGGTGGGGGGAAGTCTGTGGTTCTGAACTGCCTTGCGGAGGCGCAGAAGACGGCTCTCGGCCTGCCAACCACGCTTCTGCCGCTGAATCCAAAGGCCATCACCACGGAGGAACTCTACGGCGTCCTCGATCCCCAGACGAGAGACTGGACGGACGGGCTGCTGTCCAAGATCTTCCGTGAGATGAACCAGCCACATCCCGCAGACAAGCCTTGCAGGAGATACATCCTCTACGACGGCGATGTCGATGCCATCTGGATTGAGAACATGAACTCCGTCATGGATGACAACAAGCTCCTGACCCTGACCAACGGAGAGCGTATCAGGCTCGAGAAGCATTGCGCCATGCTTTTCGAGGTTTTCGACCTTCAGTACGCCTCGCCCGCCACGGTCAGTCGATGTGGCATGCTCTACGTAGACGACAAGAACCTTGGCCCTGGCCCGTACTACGACCGGTGGCAGCGACTGAAGCAGACAGAGAAGCTCCGTGAGTCCTTGGAGGATTTGTATGAGAAGTATGTTCCGCACTTGATCTCTTTCATCTTCGACGGCCGACAGGGCGATCAGATCGGGTCACCCCTCACGGGCTTCATCCACCGCTCGGGCATGGGCATGGACTCCGTGGTGCAGTTCACTCGCCTCTTCGACTCCATTTTCGACGAGGGAACGACGCCCATCGACTTAGTGGAGAACATTTACATCTTCTGCTTGACCTGGTCTCTGGGCGGTCATCTCGACGAGAAAGGCCGTGTGGAGTTCAACGACTTCATCAACAAGCTGGCCCAGAAAGTTCTCCCAAAGCAGTCCCTCTTCGACTCCTACTTCGACTTGGAGCAAGGGCGCTGGACATCCTGGGAGGATTTGATGGAGGCTTTCGCCCCACCTCCGGGCATCGACTTCAACAAGATCTTCGTGCCCACCATCGACACCACGCGCTACTCCTACCTGGTGAAGCAGTTCCTGAGCATGAACCAGCCGGTGCTCTTCATCGGCGAAAGTGGGACTGCCAAGTCTGTCACCATGCAGAACCTGGGTTCTTGTTAGGGTATTTAGTTTAAGTTACTTTAAGGAAACCATATTATTTACTATAGATCCCTATATTATGGTAACTTAAACAAAATCCCTTAACAAGAGCACAGGAACACCTTGGAGAGCTACAGCTCGGATGCCTCGGTGATCTTGAACATCAACTACTCCTCTCGTACCAGCAGCTTGGATTTCCAGAGAACCATGGAGGACAACATCTCGAAGCGTACTGGCCGAATCTTCGGACCAGAGCAAGGAAAGAAGCTGCGCATCTTCATCGACGACTTGTCAATGCCAAAGATCGACCTCTACGGCACCCAGCAGCCTTTGGCATTGCTGAAATTCCTCATGGAGCGCATGTTCATGTACGAGCGCGGCGGCGACTTGGATAAGATCATCATCCAGGACTGCCAGTTCGTGTCCGGTATGCAGCCTCCGGGTGCGGGACGCAACACCATCGATCCCCGCGTGGTGTCTCTGTATGCCTGCATCGGAATTACCTTCCCGGCCGGCGATACCGTGGAACGAATCTACTCGTCCATCCTCAAGAACAGCTTCCTCGGCTTCGACAACGCAGTGCAGGAGGCCAGCTTGCTCTTGCCTCAGGTCACGATGAGCCTCCACCAGGCGGTTTTGGACAACTTGCCACCCACACCCACGAAGTTTCACTACATCTTCTCACTGCGCGACCTGAGCCGTGTCTTCCAAGGCATCTGTCAGGCTGACCCGCAGGTGGTGAACAGCGCATCTTTGCTGATCAGGCTGTGGCGGAACGAGTGCACACGTGTCTATGAGGACCGCTTCAACGAAGATTCGGACAAGGCCTTCTTGAGTGAGAAGCAGCTGCACAATATCATCAAGACGCAGTTCCAGAAGAGCTCAGATGCCGCGCTCCAGGATCCTCTCGTCTGGGGCGACTTCCGGGATGCTTTGGACATCCTCGTCAAGAGCGACACGCCCTACTCTGCACCACGGGTCTACGAGGACCTGGGCAGCTGGGAGTCCATTCGTCCCATCTTTGACGGCATTTTGGAGCTTTACAACGGTGACAATAGTCCCATGAACCTGGTTCTCTTCAACGATGCCTTGGCACACCTCGTCCGGCTGCACCGCATCATCCGCCTCACCCGCGGTATGGCCCTGCTGATTGGCGTCGGCGGCAGCGGAAAGCAGTCGCTGACGCGGCTGGCGACCTTCGCGGCGGGCTACAAGCTCTATGAGATCACGCTGTCCCGAGGTTACGGTGACGATCAGCTCCGTGAGGACCTGAAGGCCTTGTACACCATGACCATAAAGCAGCCCATCAGCTTCCTTTTCACGGATGCCCATGTTGTGGAAGAAGGATTCCTGGAGTACATCAACAACATTCTGACTGTAGGCATGGTGCCAGCACTCTTCGGAGACGATGAGAAGGAGCCTTTGGTTGGTGCCATCCGGGCGAGGGCGCGTGGTGAAGGTGTGTCGGAAGCAGGCATGTGGGCCTACGCTTGTGGAGTCATTCGCGACAACCTCCACCTGGTGCTCGCGATGTCTCCGGCAGGTTCTCAACTACGCACTCGATGCCGGAACTTCCCCGGCCTCGTTGCTGGCTGCACCATCGACTGGTTCTTCTCCTGGCCGCAACAGGCACTTCTGGCGGTGGCGGAGCATTTCCTCGCTGCTGTCACGGGCATCGACGACTTCAGGACGTCCATCACAGACAGCATGAGCTATGTCCACCTGTCGGTGACGCAGGAATACTCGCCGCAGTTCGAGGTGAAATACAAGCGGCGGAACTTTGCCACCCCTAAGAACTACCTCGACTTCCTTGCTAATTACATGAAGTTCCTTGATCTGAATCGCAACAACCTGGATCAGATGTCCGGCCGCTTGGGTGGCGGTCTCGACAAGCTGGTGCAAGCAGCCGTCCAGGTGACTGAGATGTCGAAGGAGCTCGAGGAGAAGAAAGCCATCGTGGATGAGAACCTGGGTTCGTGTTAAGGGATGTATTTAAGTTACCCTAATAGGGATCTCAATATGGTTTCCTTATTATGGTAAGTTAAACTAAATCCCTTAACAAGAACCCAGGAACGCGATCAAAGTTCGAGAGCTCATTGACATCATCAACGAGAAGACCGAGGCGGTGACAAACCGGAAAGAAGAGGCCAGTGCAGCCGCAGAGCAGATCGAGAAAGACTCCGTCATCATCGAGAAGGATCCTAAGTGGTATTGCGGAGACAGACCCCTTAAAGGGAACCCTTCTTAGCCCCTGCTTATGGTTTTCTTAAACAGGGACCTTATCAAAGGGGGTCTGTATTCCCAAGGGTCCCCCTACTCCTAAGTCCTAAACCATACTCAACCCTAAACCCTAAACCCATAATCCTAAATCCCAAAAACCCTACAAAACCCACAAAGGAGAAGGCGGATGCCGACGAAGCGCTGCAGGCAGCTCTGCCGGCCTTGGAAGCGGCCGCCAAGGCCTTGGAGGACCCTGGGCTCTTGTTTAGGGTTTAGGGTTTAGGGTTTAGTTTAGGACTTGAGTTTCAGTTACCATAGTAAGGAAACCCTAGGATTTGAATGGGTAATTGTTACCATGGTAAGGAAACTTTGGTATTTACCATAGACCCCTATGTCGGTAATTGAGATTCATATGCTCTCCTAAAGCCGAAACCTTCCTTTATCCTTTAAACAAGAGCCCAGGAGTTGGACAAGAAGGACATCTCTGAGATCAAGGCCATGGCCACGCCGCCCCAGCCCGTGATGATCGTCTGCATGTGCGCTTCTGGGCTCTTGCTAGAAAGCTTCATTTCAACCTACCAAAATTATAGGCCTCTAGAGTAGATCATAAGGTTTCCTTACTATGGCAACCGAAGGTTTCCTTACTAACTATGGTAACTTAGTTAAGGTTCCTCCCTAAGAGCCCAGGTTTGCATCCTGCGGCCCTTGGGCAAGGAGGATGAAAGCCAGGGCTGGATCGGAGCGAAGGCCATGCTGTCGGATGTGGGTCTCCTGAGGGCGCTGCAGGAGTATAAGAAGGACGAGATGAAGGAGAAGCAGATCCTGGGCTCTTGTAGTAGGAGACCCTGAACTCATAGATCGTGCGAGAGAGTGTGTGTGTGTATATATATATATAATATAGATATAGATATAGAGTATGCCCAGTATGCAGCTTTCACACTGTTACCTGAGAGCCCAGGATCAAGCGGATCCGAGACTACCTTGGCAAGGAGAAGGAGGTCTTCGAGGGCGAGAAGATGAAGTCCGTCTCCAGGGCCGGCTACGGCCTGCTGCAGTGGGTCCTGGCGATGGTGAAGTACTACGAGGTGGCTCGTGGGGTGGCGCCCAAGAGGGAGCTGGTGAACAAGCTCCAGCAGAAGAAGGAGGAGGCCGAAGAGAATCTCAAGAACATCAATAAGGAGCTTAAGGAGTTGGCCGAGAACCTGGAGATTGTCACCCAAGAAAGGCAGGTGCAGAGCGACAAGTTGAAGCAGCTCAAAGAGGATGCAGACACCATGACCAGGCGACTGAATGCCGCCTCCCAGCTTATCGAGGGCCTGGGCTCTGAGCGAAAGCGTTGGACCGAAGACTTGCAGAAGATGGGTGAGGTGAAGAAGAGGCTTGTCGGTGACTGTTTGCTCAATGCCGCCTTCGTGAGCTATGCCGGGCCGTTTAACCACGAGTTCCGGAAGGAGATGGTCTACGTTGACTGGCAGAATCGCATCCAGAGCAAGTCCATCGATAAGACGGAAGAGTTCAAGATCGAGACCTTGCTGACCTCGGACGTGGAGGTGGCAGCCTGGTCGGGACATGGCCTTCCCACCGACGAGCTTTGCGTTCAGAACGGCATCCTGGTCACCCGGTCCTCCCGGTGGCCTTTGTGTGTGGACCCGCAGATGCAGACCCTAAGCCGTTTTTGAACACCATGTTTGATGTCACAATGACGTACTTACGTATCTCAAGAGCCGCCGAAGTCTGTTTTGGCCCCCTAGAACCTAAACCCTTTTGGGCCCAGGATCGTCACATGGCTCAAGAAGAAGGAGGAGAAGGTCGGGCTCACGGTGAAGACGTTCAACGATGAGTATGTCAAGTTCCTGGAGCTGGCTATACAGTAGCTAGGCCCAGGAAAGAGCGATATCGTGCTGAGTATCAGTGTTTGGGCTTAGGGGACAAGCTTAGGCTTTAGGGTGGATATGGGTGTGGGGGTCAGGGTTCTTAGGTAAGCCTTTGATGTTTGCTTCCAGCTCTTTGCCTTGAAGATCTTATCCAGTGCCATTTCCGAAGATGGTTTCATGTCACAGCCGACCCAGGTACGGTAAGCCCTTCCTCTTCGAAAACCTGGATGAAGAGCTGGATCCCATGGTGGATCCTGTGCTGGAGAAGAAGATCGTCCTAGTGAATGGACAGAAGATGATTACTCTGGGTGACAACCAGTTGGAGTGGAATGACAGCTTCATGCTTTACATGACCACGAAGCTGAGCAATCCGAAGTATACGCCTGAGGTGATGGGCAAAGCCTCGATTGTGAACTGCGTGATCACTCTCGAAGGTGGAAGTTTCGAAAAAAAACGCGACATTAATATACAATAGGTGCATCAAAGAGCGAGCTTCTCACTGTAAGCCCAAGAACGGACCCCCCCTTTTCTGAAAGCCGCAGGTCTTGCAGCGCAGCTGCTGAATGTGGTGGTGGGCTTCGAGCGACCAGACCTGGAGGAGATGCGCCAGAAGCTGGTTCAACAGATGTCCGACAACCGGCAGGTCATCAAGAGCCTTGAGGACACCTCCCCAAACCCAAACCGACACGCCGAAAGCTGCCCCAAACCCGAAGCCTTGAGGACACCCTACTTCGGGAATTGGCCGCCTCGAAGGGCAGTATCCTCGACAACGACGAGTTGATCCAGACGCTGAACAACGCAAAAGCCAAGTCCATCGAGATCGGCGAGTCACTGGAAACTGCTGCCAAGACTGCGGAGGAGATCGAGAAGACTCGAGGGCTCTACGTGAGTGTTGCAAAGAGGGGCTCCATCCTCTACTTTGCCATGTCTGGCATGGTCGCCATCAGCGAGATGTACGAATACTCCTTGAGCAGCTACTTGGGTGTTTTCGACACTGCGCTCCGCGACGCCAAGCCTGACAAGATCGTGGACAACCGTCTCAAGAATCTCCGCGAGAAGATGACACAGACCATGTACGACTACACCTGCATGGGCGTCTTCGAAAAGCATAAGTTGCTCTTCAGCTTCCAGATGACGTCCATGATCTTGGACGGCGACAATGACCTCGACAAGAGGGAGTTCGACTTCTACATGAAAGGCAACCCTTCTCTGGAGAAGCCCAAAGAGCCGAGCCCCTATCCTTGGCTCTCGGAGTCTGGTTGGAAGGACCTGCAACTCCTGAAGACCTTTGACGACAGCATCAAGGACATCTGCGAGGACGTGAAGAAGTATGGCGATGATTGGTACAACTGGTACGAGTCCGAGACCCCGGAGTCGATAGACATGCCTTGTGGCTATAAGGAGAAGGTCGATTTGTTCAAGCAAGTGCTCATCATCCGCAGCATCAGGCCGGACCGGATGATCACAGCCACCAAGGGCTTCATCGCCTACAAGCTGAGCGACTACTATGTGCAGCCGCCCTCTTTGGTCTACGACAAAATCTTCGAGAAATCCAACGAGTTCATGCCGATTGTGTTTATTCTTTCCCCTGGGGCCGACCCGCAAAGCGACGTGGCCAAGCTGGGCGATCAGCTCGGCTTCTCGGGAAGCAAGTTCAAGTTCGTGTCCCTGGGTCAGGGTATGGGAGGAGTGGCCCAGCAGACCATCGAAACTGGCTACCAGCGAGGTCATTGGGTCATGTTACAAAATTGTCACCTCTTAGCTTCCTGGCTTCGTACCTTGGAGAAGATCCTTGAGCAGATGCACAAGCCACACAAGGATTTCCGGCTTTGGCTAACCACCATGCCGACGAGTGCTTTCCCCATGGGCATCCTGCAGAGATCGCTGAAGGTGGTGACCGAGCCGCCTGAGGGGCTGAAGTTGAACATCAAACAGTCCTATGCCAAGATCTCGGATGGGGATCTTGATGCCTGCTCTCACGAGCGGTTCCGCCCGCTGATGTATGTGCTTGCCTTTTTCCACGCCGTGGTGCAGGACCGGCGAAAGTTCGGCCGAATTGGCTGGAATGTCGCATACGACTTCAACGAGTCTGATTTCAAGGTTTCGGCAAAACTGCTGAACCTTTACCTGCAAAAGAGCTTTGACAAGGGAGAAGTCCTGCCTTGGGAAACCTTGCGATACCTCATTGGCGAAGCCATGTACGGGGGTCGCGTAACAGACAACTACGACAGGCGTGTCCTCACAACCTACCTGGAGGAGTACATGGGTGACTTCCTCTTCGACGAGAACGTGAAGTTCTTCTTTAGCCGCTCTGGTTTCGATTACGACTGCCCTCTGCAGGGCAACGTGGCCTCCTACCAGCAAGTGATCCTCACGCTCCCGATCAATCAGTCGCCCTCCGTCTTCGGGCTGCACCCGAACGCTGAGATCAACTACTTCATGAACTCAGCCAAGGAGGTTTACTCTGGGCTGATGGCAATGCAGACAGGCGGAGGTGGTGACTCGGGAGGTATGAGCCGGGATGAGATCATTGACAAGACAGCCTCCGATATCCAGTCCAACATTCCGAAGGATGAGCTCAAGTTCCTCAAGGATGGAGTTCCGACACCTCTCGAAGTTGTACTCATGCAGGAGATTGAGCGCTATGAAGCCCTGGTGAAGCGCATGGTCGGCAATCTTGCAGACCTGAAGCGCGCGATCAAGGGCGAGATTGGCATGAGTCAGTCCCTGGATGAGCTTGGCACCTCCATGTTCAATGGGCAGGTGCCCGGTGGGTGGATGAAGATCGCGCCGCAAACGGAGAAGCCTCTGGGCAGTTGGATGGAGCATTTCGTCCGTCGCAACACGCAGTACTCGGACTGGTGCAGTAAGGGTGACCCAGCGGTCTTCTGGCTCAGCGGTTTCCACATCCCCGAGAGTCTGCTCAGTGCGCTCGTTCAGGCTTCCTGCCGTCGCCGCGGGTGGGCACTCGACAAGTCGACGCTGTACACGAAGGTCACAAAATACAGCGATCGAAGTCAGGTCGGAGTTTCAGAAAAGAAGGGGACACCCCCAATAGTAATGTTTATTCAGCCTAAATCACAGGAGTCCTTGTTACAACCAGGACCCCCTACCTAAACCCCCAAACCACAAGGACCCCCTAGCAAGTAGGTACAAACCTGTTTTGTTTTGACAAACTTCCGAGGTGCCCGAGAGGCTGATGGACGGAACCTACGTCGAGGGACTGTGCCTTTCTTCCCCAGTACCCCTTTTGCTGTTTGTGTCTGGGGCTTTTAAGTTTTCTATTTACGGGGTGAAGACTATACCTAAACCCTAAAACCGAAACCCGTTGCAACAGCAGTGACAAGGGGAGGCCTCAAACAAAAAGGCTATGCTGTTTCATTAGGGGATGCTGAACCCAGGTACCTTGAGGGTGCCAGATGGGACCTGGATGCAGGCTGCCTGGCGCGACAGCTGCCACTCAGTTCTCCAAAGTCAAACTCTTGGTTTTGTTTTGCTCTTAGAAGTTAGGCACGGCTCTGAAAGTGTGATCATGTATTTCTTTGGGTGCATAACAGAAATTGAAAGCCAAAACCAACAGAAAGCCAAAACCCTCTACTTCTAACATCAATCAGAACCCTTACACTGCAAGTAAGGCCAAAGCAGCTCATTCAGCTCATGCCCATCATCGAGGTAATTCCGGTGGAGGCAAACCGGCTGAAGCTCCGAGATGAGCTTCCGACACCGGTCCCTTAGCAGCTGTCAAAGAGGGTTGAGGTAGGCCAACCTTAGAATTTTTTGGGTTGTGATCGATGACTTAAGTTTTAACCGGGTTTGAAAAACAGAAAGGCACGCTGTGGGGCCACTGTTTTGCCACGCACAAGGATTTGCGATGTTTTCTGGATTGTCGCTTAAACTTTCCGTTTTAGAACCTCTTCCGAACAAAAAACTGTTTAACATGCACACGCAATTGGGTAATCATATATCTTAATAAAATACAAGAAAGCAATATTGGTGAGGGATTCGAGGATTCGGGCCAGTGCCTTATGGTGGGAAGCCGTCAGCCACCCCTACAGGCCCCTCCCGGGGCGGGGGGGGGGGGGAAACCAGATTGTTTGCTTTTTTGCAGTGCCCCCCCGCACCCCCATCTTTCCAGGCCCTTTGGAAGCAGGTTTTACTTTTCACCATTCAAGCTGAAGGGGGACCTCATCCATACAGATTTAGACGTATTATACACTTTTGCACGGCAGTCATCAGGAATTCAAGCTCAAGGGGTCTTCAAGACAAAAGACAACTTAATGTCAGCGAGTTTATACATGGGAGGGGGCAGCTTGTGCAGTATATCCGCCAAACCATTGGACATGGACAAGATGTCATATTTGGGATATGCTACATCCATGTGACAAGGTCACGGGTAGCGAATGGGACATGCCCACACGCGGAAATGATGTGTCAGGAGACTCCCCACAGTAGTCCTAGATATCAGGTGTTTGAATTCGTGCCGGGCTCGTCAGAATAAGTCTCTATGAGAGCCCCAAATTCCTCTGGTATGTTTATCGACGCATACAATGGGGATTGACAACAGGATCCATGTTTGAGTTTAAGAACAGGAGTCGGAAGATGCCATCGCCCACTTATGTTGATAGGATGCATTTAAACCACAAGCTGTCAAGTAGAAGCTATGCAGACATGCGTATGGTACTGTAGCTTATATGATAGGCATGCATCCCCACAGCATTCAGGTTCGAAGTTAAGATGCCAACTTGTTCCCGAACAGTAATATTAAAAAGCTGCAAGTTTGATTTGCCCAGACTGTGGGACTGATTTGCATACGAGTTATATACATGCTGACATGTAAGCCCCACACACAATTCCATCTAAACTTACATAGTCGGATGAAATATGACGTACACACATGCTGCTTTCCAACGAATGTTGCAAAATGCGTGCAAGGAAAAATATCTAGTCTATGGAACGAAGGAAACCGAGTCAATACGAGTTGATTTGGAGCTGAGAGCATTTACAAGTGCTTCGCCCCCCTTCTATTTCAAGAGTGATTGATTTTCCCTGGAAAACATGCGAAAAGCCGTAAATATGGGGGCCCGGGGCGTTCCACCCTTCAGAGAAAGTGAGGTCTACATCACTCAGTTGCGCCGGAACGCCATGGGAGTGGGCTTGGTCTTTGAGGCGAACCTCCACACGAAGGAGCATCCCAGCATCTGGGTCTTACAAGGTGTGGCCATGATGCTCAATGACGATTCCTGAGCGGCACCGTAACTTCCTCTCTTCGGCCCAGCTCAGACAGCAGGTTGCGCAGTTCAGTCTTTCAGTTTTCAGCCTTGCACCCGACTCGAAAACGCTCTTGCTCAAATTCCGTGATTGTGCTGGATGACTGAGCCATTCGGTAGGTGGCTTGATAACGCTTCGAACCTTTCTGCTTTTGAGCACAGCTCAGAATTCAATCTGAACTCTGCCTCTGTACAGTGTCTTGGCCCTTTGAGCCGTTCTGCTTGCGAACACAGACAAGAATTCAAAATGAGCCGTGCCTCTGGATACTTGGCGAGCCCTGAGTGCCCATAGCCCCTACCGGCCAAACCCTAAACCCTACACCTTAAACCCCAAAGCCCCAAAACCCTTCAGCCCCTAAACCCTATAAAAAACCCTAAAAGAAAACCCAAAACCCCAAAACTCCAAAGCCCTTCAACCCCTATTAACCCTATTGAAAACCAACAGCCAGACAAGATGAGAAGCAGAGAGATGCTGAGGACAAGACCTACAACCTGCATCATTGTTGGGAAGAGTGCGATCGAGACGCTTGGCATGTTCCGTGTTAGGGTTTTAGGGTTTAGGGTTCAGGGGTTTAGGGGTATCTGGCCGGGCGAGCTCAGTTCAAGCCTGTGGAAAAGGGGTTTAGGGGTTCAGGGGTTTAGGGTTTAGGGTTCGGGGCATGGGTTAGGTTTTGAGCGCCTTTTTTCAGTTTTGCAGCGTTGAGGAGGGATTTCGACGCGACATCCCAGCCTTGCAGGGCTTTGCAAGCATCTCGGGGGCTTTTGCTGGCTCTGCATTACTGTTCTAAACCTTGAGTTCCAAACCCTGAACTGCTTCTTCGAAGTCGTAGGGCAGATGTCGTTGTGGTGATGGCGTGGGTCACCTGGAGTTGACTGGATGCTCTACTGGATGGTTGTGCAAGATTGAGGACGACTGTTCGGTGTCCCAACTCCGAGTGAATAAGTGCGTGCAGTGTTTTTTTTTTGCTGGTGGAATCCTGCTGATATGGAATCTTGATTGATGAGATGGCCAGGGGACTGGAGCAAGTACCCGACTGAACAAGTTGTTTGCTTCATGACCTGGTAGTGTCGAGAATTAAAGTGGAAACGTTCTAGGCTGCCACAACACCAGCGACGGCCCAAGCCCTCAACCCTAAGCTTCTCAGCATTCGAGCTGTCCCTTTGGGGTCTGATGACAAGGTTGATTACAGGCCCATTGGGGTACAGGCAGATTTCGCTTGAAGGCTGTGCTGAGTTAGCATCGTCTCAACGAGAAGAAAACAGCCGACAATCAACCGTAAGTTTCTGCTTTGAGAAGGAGCAGTTGTCGCGAACAGCGCCAGGACGAGAACAAGAAACAACAAGAACGGTCTTCGTGGAAAAACATCTGCCAGCATCTGCCGGCTACAGGAACGAACGTGCCGCCTTTCCGGCAAGGAAGAGTCAGAGTTGCAAAACACTGAACTTGTTTTCTGCTTCTTTTCCCCACGATTCTAGGACAGCCGCTGTCACTTCTGGGACTACGGCCTCGGTTCCTGCTCACTGCGTGCAGATGCAGGCATTCTGCGAGGGGCCACAAGTTTTGGAGACAGCATCTCTGACGAAGTAGGACGCTTCAGAGATATCTTCGGGCGACGCTTTTCCTGCTCTTGGGATCCGGTTCTGGAGGGGTGAGAATTTCCAGAGACGAGAAACTGGAATCTGTTGGGAGGCTTTGTTCGTTCGTGAGTTTCAAACTGTGTAGTAGCTTGCTCTGGTTTTCTAGAATCGGAAAGCTTGGAAACAACTGTAACTTCCCATGTTGTGCTGCTGCGACGAAAATTGTTGAGGGGTGTTGGCCTGGACTTCAGGACTCGGACCTGTCACGCGTTTCGGGAGATACTTGCAGGGCCAGATCGGAATCCATTATAGTAGCCCCTTGCAATGACGCTTACCTAAATCCTAAAGCCTAAACCCTAAAGCCTAAACCCTAAACCCCAAACCCTAGCCCGCAAAGCCCAAACCCTAAACCCAAACCCCTAAAGCCTAAACCCTAAGATAACACCCACCCTTTGCCATGCGAGAGGGAAAAAGATAACACCCACGCCTCCTCGAAAGCGCTGGGAGTGGGGGTTCCGTGCGGCGCTGTGCTGTGCAGGGGAAGGCCGCGAACCGAGGGCTGGCCATGCACCTTTGGCTCCTTTTATGTTCTCTAGGGTTTAGAGTTTTTGTCTTGGGTTAGCGCTGGATTAGGGGGTAGAGGGTTCAGGTCCAATGTATGGTTTAGGGGTTTTGAGATGTGGGCTTAAATCAAAGGCGCAGTTCGTTCAATTGGATTCGTGCCTTTTGTTCTTGTCTTCTGTCCAAAAAGCCTTCAAGCCTCCACATTCTCGGCGTCGATTTGTCTTCTGTAAGGGCTTGGATTTAGGTCAAATCGATAGCTGGCTCCGGGCAGAGAGGATGTGCAAGAGTACGTTTTTTGTTGTTGTTCTCTCTTCCTCTTTCTCTTGTCTCGTTCACTCGCTCCCTTTCTCAGTCTCATGTGGACACGGAAAAGTTTCTGGCCATCCCTTTCAGAATGGATTTACCGATGCAGGGGTATCAAGAAGTCGGCACGCCGGAGAGGTGTACCACGGACCCAAGTCCAAAAGCCTCAACCCCGGTTCATGGGTTTACATGGCTTCGGGGGCTTTAGGTCTGAGCTCTCATGATTTCCTTTGCAGAGCTTGCGAATGGGTCGCCCGCGCCCTGAGGAAGGGCTTTTGGGGTTCAGGGCAAAGCCTTGGCGACTTAGAACTTAGGAGGGCAATGACGAATTCTGAAGCAGCAAAAAGCAAGACACCCTAGGCCCTCGACCCCAGGCCCTTCCAAGAAATGTAGCCTAAACCCGAGCAGACGACTTCTCAAAAAAATGCCAGGAAAACTGTGGAGAAGACAGCCTCCCGAATCAACACGGGAATGTTTCAGGGTCCTGGGCTTGCTTAGGGTAGTCTTAGAGTATTCCCTGAAACCTGAAATCCACGGCCCTAAGCCCCAAACCTGGCATCCACGCCCCTAGAGTCGAGGTTGGTGGGGCTTCTGGCTGCCTCTTGCAGGACCCACCGAGCAATTAAAAAGGGGGGCTTGAGTAAGAAGAGGTGCCCTGGTGTGTTATCGTATGATGTGTATTATAATATGGAGTCTCGGTAGTTTGGAGTGGCCTTCAGATGATTTTGGGTAGATTTCGGGATGGAGGCTTCAGGGTTCGGCAGGGAAGGCCTGGGTCTGTCTGGAGTCAGGGGATTTTCAGTGGTGCCAGAGTGGCTCGACCATTTCAAGGGGGCCGGCCCTCAATTCTTAGATCTGTAGTTGAGCCATGCAAGAAGCCTGGCGCTGAACTATCCTGTCCACTTCTTCGTATCACCATATTAGTGAATGTCTTGTCTATTGCGGCCACTTAGATGATAGCAATCCTACATGTGCTCAGCAACACCAGCCCAACAACAAGACTATGGAATGCATTGCAAGCACAGACTGATATATAGCAGTTCATGGTTTCTCAGATCGTCTCTTAGACCAGTAGTGACCGGAGTCCTAATATGGGCGACAATAGCAGGAGATAGCCGTGAGAGTGGCTAGGATTCAACATCGGAGCCTTCTCCAGACGCTTGGGGCTTGATGCCGCCTGCCTGCTCTGAGGCTGGTTGTTGGTTTGGATACTATAGAATCCTCAAATATTATTACCAAAATTATTCCTTAGGGTTACTTAGTGTAGTTATACTAGAATGTACCGGCGCGTTGTTGCCAACCCGATTCGCGGGCCCCGACGATGATGATCACGATGATTCACGATTATGTCGCTGCTCTTATTGCTGCCGCTGCAGCTTCTGCTTCTCCTCTCCCTCCTCCTCCACCCACCACCACCACCGCCGCCGCCGCCCCCACCACCACCACCACCACCACCACTACCACCACCGCCACATTCACGATGCTCACTATGGCTGTTCCGTTGATGATCAAGACAATGGCTTTTGCCGAGGGTACTGTAGAAGCCTGAACAAGTACTTAGGTTCCTCATGCTTAGGGTAAAATGTACACCAAAAACCAAAATCGCCCTATTCTATGGAGAAGCGCCCCCAGCACCCTTACATAGATCCCTGTAAAGGAGCCACTTCGAAGGAGCCTTGTTCTGTTCATTGACCCCCCCCCCCTACTCCGAGATTGAGGTCGCTGGCATCCCGTGCAATGGGCATCGACGACGGCGAGCTCGTGCCAGGAACCCGGGCAGTGAGGGTTTAAGGTTCAGGGCTCAGGGCTCAGAGTTTAGGCTTTGCGGGTTTAGGGTTAAGCTGTTCTGTACAGACCTTCTACCCTACAAGCGTAGCAAATTGTGCTGCCCTTCAGGCAGGCTTGACGTTTCGAATGCCTGAGAGGGAGAGAGGGGTTAAGGTATAGCTTCGAGGTGAGGCGGGCATGAAGGCATGTGCATTGCAGCCCCGCCTCAGAAAAGTGTTAAAGTCTAGGGTTTAGGAGTAGACAGTGGGACTACTCGGAGTATGCGCCGAACCCTTTTGCGCCTTCACTCTCACCAGATTCCAGACCGAATTGGCAGGGCAGTATTGTATTGGCCCAATCCCAAATCCCGAATCTTCCAGACCCTGCACCGGATCTCTCCGGCAACAAACGGAAGCCCTTGCTGACATGTTGTCATGTTACACTGGTGTTTTGTGCCCACATGGGCCGTGAAGATCGCTTTCCCGGTGGCCTCGATTCGGATTTATTTTGAGCGAAGCTCGGAGAAATCGGATCCATATTTTCAATCCTGGATCCCTTGCTTTCGGAAGACAGTAGCAATGGCACCAGCTGAAATCTCATCCTTGCATCTTTGCCGGGGTTTAGGGTTTAGGGCTTTGGGGTTTAGGGCTTAGGATCCTTACCATAATCCCTGTTCTGCGAGAGCCGTATTATGACCCACCACAAACTTCCGGAGCTTCTTTAATGCAGAAGCCTAAAATCCCAAACCCTAAGCAAGACCATAACCAGTGCTTCCGGGTGAGGTTCCGCGACTTCGTTCTAGAAGGGAATCTGCTGCTCTTCGGCCCGCATGGTTTCGTGACTTATCCTGATGAAGAGATGGAGGCCAGACGGATTGCGGGCCGGCCTCTTCGAGCCTTGTTGTTCGTTAATTATAACTGTTTGTTGGTTTCTCAAACTTGGGTTTACATGTGTAGGGGGCCAGCTTTCAGCTGCAGTCTTCGAGTAAGGAAATGCCTGGGCCCTCCTACACCCGATGCTTTAAACCCCAATGCAAGGGTTTGTCCTCGTTACTTTGATGGATCCGTGAATGGCCGGTAGACCCAGGATTCCTTTGCCTAGCAGCCTGGCCGTTTCCTCACAAGTGTCAAAATGTCCATTTCCGCGGGTTTAGGGCTAAGGGTTTTGGACGTGGGGGCTTCGGTTCAGGGTTGTATACTGCCCTCTTTCAGCACAACAACTTGAACTCAAAACCGGACAGACTTCGGATTCGAGCATGCAAGCTCCTGCCTAAATTTACATCCAAGGGGGACAAACGGCTGCACACACCTAAGCCCTCAATAATTGCACTACATCGGAGAGTGTACCCCCTGAAGCCGACATGGCCTAACTAGACGCCTCAACCCCAGTTACATAGAATTTTACATGCATACATGCATGCATACACACTGACATACATCTAAGCCGGTCCTTAACATTGGGATGATAATTTTTGAAATTCTGGAAATTCTGGGGGAGGGGAATTCTGGAGTTTGGCAGAGGTGCTTGTCGCCCGTCCGTTGACAGATCATGGGTGGGGACGGACACCGCCCTTCCCCTTCCCCACGGCGGTCTGTCATTGGAGGAGGGGGGGGGGTGAGCATATACATACATACAGACATCTATATATATATATATGTATATAGATAGATAAGATAAGATAAGATTAGATCAGATTAGATTAGGTTAGATGAGGTTAGATAGATAGATAGATAGATAGATAGATAGATGGACAATAGATAGACTCTGAACCTGAACAGGTCCTCCCCGACACGGGGGCAGAAGCCTCGAAGCAGCCGGAAGACAAGCCGGGCGCTTGGGACTGCTGCCGCCGGAGTTTATACGGCTTTACAGGTTTCAACATGGGACCGCATAAGGGCTTAGATGACCTGAAAAGGCATCTGTGTCTGCGCATTTTCTGAAGCCGAGTGCGAGTGAGAGAGAGAGTGAGAGAGAGAGAGAGAGAGTGAGAAGTTTACCAAGCAAACAAGCAAGAGAGTGAGTGAATGCTTTATGTCATTCTGTTTCATGGTTGGTGACCTTTTCGGACTGATGGCGGCTGGGGACTTGCATTGTTTTGAGTCGCGGCTTTTCCGCTGAATCTCAACAATCGCCCTCAACTTGTTCATGCTTTCCCGATGGTACCTTAATGCTTCTCATGTTTGGATTGCCTTGCCACACATAGGGGAATGCGACGGGCCCAGTCAGGCTTTAATGGTGTCCATGCATGTCAACAACCTGGGACTGCGTACCATGCACCTTTTGCTAACAAGTAGTAAATGGGTTGTTGTTGTGACCTTGGTCTTA